ACATTTCTGCCAACGATGAACAAGTTTTCTGAAGCAGTCACGGAAGAAGTCGACACTCTCTTTCCGCAACCAGTGTCGGCATCCTGGGTACCCGTAGAATCATAGAATCAAAGAGTTGGAAGAGACCTCATGGGCCATCCAGTCCAACCCCCTGCCAAGAAGAAGGAATGTTGCAGTCAAATCACCCCTGACAGATGGCCATCCAGCCTCTGTTTCAAAGCTTCCAAAGAAGGAGCCTCCACCACACTCCGGGGCAGAGAGTTCCACTGCTGAATGGCTCTCACAGTCAGGAAGTTCTTCCTCATGTTCAGATGGAATCTCCTCTCTTGTATTTTGAAGCCATTGTTCCGCGTCCTAGTCTCCAAGGAAGCAGAAAACAAGCTTGCTCCCTCCTCTCTGTGGCTTCCTCCTCTCACATATTTATACATGGCTATCATATCTCCTCTCAGCCTTCTCTTCTTCAGGCTAAACATGCCCAGCTCCTTAAGCCGCTCCTCATAGGGCTTGTTCTCCAGACCCTTGATTATTTTAGTCGCCCTCCTCTGGACACATTCCAGCTTGTCAATATCTCTCTTGAATTGTGGTGCCCAGAATTGGACACAATATTCCAGGTGTGGTCTCTCCAAAGAGGAATAGAGCAAGGGGAGCATGACTTCCCTAGATCTAGACACTAGGCTCCTATTGATGCAGGCCAACATCCCATTGGCTTTTTTTGCCGCCACATCACATTGTTGGCTCATGTTTAACTTGTTGTCCACGAGGACTCTTTTTCACACGTACTGTCCACGAGGAGATCATGCACAGATCTTCTGATAACCAAGCAATTGTGAGATAAAACACGTTCCATACTTTGTACTTTAACAACACAACCATTCACTGCTAAGGCTTCCTGCCAAAATGGAACTGTAGAGGAGAGTCTACTGAACAAGCCAGTACCTGCCGCATACCAGTACTGCCATCGGTTGAGGAGTTAACAAGGTGGAGGCATTTCTTTTCATTCAACCCCCATATGTATGTTGTATGTCTAAATGCCATTGAATGTTTGCCATGTGTATATATGTGCTTTGTAATCTGCCCTGAGTCCCCTGCGGGGTGGGAAGGGCCCAATATAAATACTGTAAATGAATAAGTAAACAAATTTACTCCACAGTGTAGATGTGCCGTAAGTGGCTTATGTGACCTCTGTGTATGTGTATGTATTTTGGTGAACTTTACCATAGTTTGACGATTGAAAAATATATTCTGTAACACACTGCCAACCTTGGGCCTGCTTTGTCACACATGCACATGCACATGCTTGTGTTATGAACCCAGAGCCTTCTCCCTGGCCTTGGGGAGCTGTTCTCCAGATGTTCACAGCTGGGAGTTGAGTGGAGAAGGCGCCGGGAAGAGTCTTCGGCTTTAGGTTTATTGTGCAAAACAGGCAGCTTGTGTCTCTGGAGTTGTGTGGTTTTGCACTTAGGATTCATTAACAGCAGGACACATGCGGGTCTGGATACGCATGGGAAGGCTGGAGGCATATTAATGCTTGCGTCTATTGTCAGCACCAAAACTACTGGAGACACACTCAGGAAGCGATCTAGAGTTGGAAGAGACCCCCAAAGGCCATCTAGTCCATCCCCTTCTGCCATAAAGGGAGACACAAGCAAAGCCCTTTGGCAGATGTCCACCCAGCTTTTGTTTCAGGAGAGTAGATTTCATTACATTTTCAGGCATTACATTTCTCTAGAGTTGGAGGGGACCCCAAAGGCCAGCCAGTCCAACCCCATTCTGCCATAAAGGGAGACACAACCAAAGCCCTCTGGACAGATGGTCATCCAGCTTCTGTTTCTGGGGAGTGGATTCCATCACATTCCCAGGCATTACATTTCTCTAGAGTTGGATGGCAGTACTGGTATGCGGCAGGTACTGGCTTGTTCAGTAGACTCTCCTCTACAGTTCCATTTTGGCAGGAAGCCTTAGCACTAAACAGTTGTGTTGTTAAAGTGCGAAGTAAGAAACCCTGCGCAGACAGCCGGTCAATGCGACTTAAGCAATGTGCAGTCATTGAATTCTTGACAGGAGAAGGTGTCACCCCAAAGGAGACTCATCAGAGAATGCAAGCTGTTTATGGTGATTGTGTGGATGTGAGTACTGTGCGTCATTTGGCGAGTAAGTTTAAAGATGTTGAGATGACACCTTCTGCTGTCAAGAATTCAAGGAGAGTCTACTGAACAAGCCAGTACCTGCTGCATACCAGTGCTGCCATCGGTTGAGGAGTTACGAAGGTGGAGGCATTACTTTTCATTCAACCCTTATAGTATGGAGAGGTAGTGAGGATGCTTGCCATAGATGCAGGTGAAACGTCAGGAGAGAATGCCTCTAGACCACGGCCATATAGTCCAAAAACACCTACAACAACACAGTGATTCCGGCCATGAAAGCCTTTGACAATACATTGAATAGTGGTCATTAAAGAGCACATTCTAAGGATTATTTCTGCGTTTGATTTATTAAAATATTCCCATCCAAACCCAAGTAACGAAGGTGGGGATACAGGCATGTAGCCAGGGGGGGCCTTGAGGGGCTGCAGCCCCCCCCCCCCTAAAATTCTCATGGTGGTCCGCGAGAAGGCCTTACTGGTACATTATTTAAACTGTTATGTTTATTGATATCATGATCTGATCACCATGCTCAATATATCCCATATGCATGGGGGGTATTGGGGTAACGATACAAAAGGTTTGCTAGGCTAGACCCTCTTTCACTCAGACTCAGCCCCCCCCCCCTCCCTGATCAAACTCAGCTACCCCTGAATCAAAATCCTGGCTACGGGCCTGTGGAGGCATAACTTTTCATTCAACCCTCGTATGTATACAATTTTTTTAAAGGATGAGACAACCAATTGGGAATGGTCTGGACATGAACAATAAGGTTTTGTACACATCTTTGTTTTATCTAGGAAAATATAGCTTTGTTTTGTTTGTGTTCTAATGATAATGCAAATGATATCTTTTGGGATTGCCAGTCCCAGGATTCTCTCTTCAGTATTTAGGACAGGCATGGACAAACTTTACTCCTCCAGGTGTTTTGGACTAAAGGCAGTGGCAGAGGTTTATTCATCTGGCCGGGTGGGTGTCAGGACAGTGTCATCACCAACAGAATGGACGTTGCATACAATACAGTGCAGAGCAGGCCTGGGCCAACTTCAGCCCTCCCTCCAGGTGTTTTGAACTTCAACTCCCACAATTCCTAACAGCATCAGGCCCCTTATTTGGGAAAAGGAAACCTGAGACTGTTAGGAATTGTGGGAGTTGAAGTCCAAAACACCCAGAGAGATTTGATCAGGTCTATCATAGAAACTCATATGTGACATATTACATAGTGTAATGCAGGCATGGGCAACCTTGGGCCCTCCGGGTGTTTTGGACTTCAACTCCCACAATTCCTAACAGCCTACTGGCTGTTAGGAATTGTGGGAGTTGAAGTCCAAAACACCCAGAGAGCTGAACTTTGACCAGGTCTATCATAGAAACTTAAAATCTTAAAGAATCTTCCAATGCCCTTTAGCCATGAAAAAAAATGCACAACTCGAGCACTCCTGAAAGATATCCATCCTCTGCTTGAAGATCTCCAAAGAAGGGGAGTCCTACACCTTGCAAGGCAGTCCATACTCCACTAGAGTTGGAAGGGAGCCCCAAAGGACATGTAGTCCAACCCTGGTAAATGAAGCACTCCTGTAAGACGGTCATCCAGCCTCCAAAGATGAAGAGCTTGCTCCCATTTGTAGGAGATGATTCCAGCTCTTACAGTGTAGCAGCTCACAGGGGCGGCTCGTCCATTACGCGAAGTAAGCGGTCGCAGAACACTTTTTTTTGCCAGCGGCGCAGAGGCAGCTCTGTAAATGCCCCTCGACCGCCACTTGAGGAGCGCCCCCTCAGCTCACAACAGCCCTAGCAGTCCGGGGGGAGCCTCGGCTTTCTTGCCTCGCTGCCGGGCGATCCTCTTCCCAAAGGGGCCGGGCCCTTGAGCCTCGCCTAGCCCCTCTTGTTCCTGCTCCACCCGGCCACCGGGTGCGCGAGCAGAGCCGGCGCTCAATCGTTCTCCGCGTTCGATCCCTTCCCCATGACCGGCTCCCTTTCCCGATCCCCCGTGCTCCACCCACCTCCTCTCCCCAATCCGCGGGTGGGCCAAGGGGTGGAGCCGCCGCTCCTGGCCCGCTTCGGGTCCAGAGGTGTGTCTGAAGACCCCAGCGTGCGCACCAAAAGTCGCCTCTTCTCCTGACTTTCTCTTCAGCCATTGGGACCAAGAGAGAGAGAGAGAGAGAGAGAGAGCCCCTCCGGCTGGAGGTATCTCCCACCTCCGCTCCCTCCTTTGTTTTTGCGCCTACCTTCAGGAAAGGTGGGCATCTCCACCTCTCTCTCTCTCTCTCTCTCGGTCCCAATGGCTGAGGAGAAAGTCAGGAGAAGAGGTGACTTTTGGTGCACACGCCGGGGTCTTCAGGCACGCCTCCGGACCCAAAGCGGGCCAGGCAAGGGAGCAAGTGCGGCAAGTGTAGTTACTGGGATGTATAGTTCACCTACAATCAAAGAGCATTCTGAACTCCACCAATGATGGAATTGAACCAAATATGGCACACAGAACTCCCACGACAAACAGAAAATATATATCAATGATTGGTTGGGGGGGGGGCGCCAAAATACTGTTTGCTTAGCACTGAAAATTACCTAGGGCCACCGCTGGCAGCTCATCTTAGTATTTTGGTGCAATCACTTTTCTTGCAATGCGTAGGA